GTAAGATGGTCGAACTTGAACTGTACTTTTCGAATGAAATCATCCTTGTATTGGGTCGGAGTGCGTTTTTTTCTGAGTCAAATCACAGTCCGAGTCAAATGTCCGCATCTTTCAGTGATTTCAAGTCATTGAAGTTTCTCTCGCTATTTACACTCAAGCGACGATGAAATTTCAACGGAATGTTATTCCGAAGAGTTGAAGAATCCATGGATGAAAAAAGTGAGCCAATAGTCATTGAATTTGGATTTCATGAAAAGTGACTCAATTTCCACTATATTTTTCCACGTGTATACAAGAATTGACTCTCTAGTTTGTCAAAAATGTCAAAAATGACAATTGACTGATACTGGCGTTTGCCTTGTGTTTCGTAAGAATTTGAATATTCTATGACGTCAGTTGATCAAAAATCTGGTCCGCCTTAGCTTGTTAATATTGATGAGGTAAAGATTGGTAAGCGGTATATCAGTCTGCCACTTGGCATCTTGCAATCATTTGGACAAACAGAGAGAAAGCTCGTCAAGTATGTGTCGAAAGAAACAGACGCTTCTCTCATGTTCAAAGGCTTCTTTTGTGCTTTCCTGTCCCACCGTGTCAATACTAGAGAACAGAGACGACCGTTTAATACTTCTTAAATAACGTAGCTTATTGTAATATTGTTACTTTGGTTCTATAAATAAATTCGATCATATTTCTTGTGTGTATAAGAGATATACATTTAGGGTGATTATAAAAGAAGTAAAGAAATATTCTTCTACACAGCACTAGATGCACGATTTTATAAGTTATATTTGCCAGAAAAATAATTGAAATGTCGAACCTAAATCTATGAAATGCTTTGGAAAAATTATGTTCATTATCAATTTGATTTTGCGGCCGAAAAGATTCTTTTAAGACTACAATCAAATTATATAACATCCCCAGTCGTATAGAGATTCTAAGAAGAAGGTAGGTCGGCGAAGTAGGTAAGAAATCCTCAAAATATTCTTCCAAAAAACGAAGCGTATAATTCAAAATGGCGGTTGTATTATAGGCTACTGAATACCAGCTCCAGGGAACGTTTCTTCCGTTTCTACAAAACCCTACCAGCATGGTAGGTATTTTGATATCGATAGCGATACACTGCATGGGCGGTAAATGTCTCGCGGACACCATTTTGAAAACCATACACATACTGTACCCATACTCCTTTTCGCCTGTACCCATGATTCTTCACGAAAAAAAGAGAGAGCACTGGGATCGACAGAGCTCCACAGAGCTCCTACTATGCATATATTAACCCAAACAAATACCAAATGTCTATTTTAGTTTAAAAGTTGACTCGGAAAAAATTAAGCCCCATGTACTCACCCGATTAGCACTTAATAAAGACTTTTCAAGCTCGACTCATAGTTACAGTAGAGCACGTTTAACGGTTAAAGAGGCGTATAAAGCTGTTAAACGAAATGTATTAAAAACAACTGAAACAATAGCAAACAAGTGAATCAGAGTATAATAGTACTCAAATCACTCAAGACTTAAATGAAAACCACTTCATTTGGTTCACAATAAAACTGATTATTATTTGTCTGTTCACTGGACATAAGGGAGACACTTTTAAATTATAGCCTTGAGATTTATATTGTGAAAAGGGCGTACTATCTTTATAATGACTTGAAATTAATAGAAAATATACACACAAGTCTTACTCGGAATTGTATGGAACCAGCAGATATTCGAAGTTAGCTAAGTGATATTAGGCACGACATATTTTGTTATATTTGAATTTCCATAAAAATTACATATTGTGGTATTAGTTTGAAGTTGTTAATTGAAATAGTTATACCCAATAATATTTAAGTAAGAAAGGATGGATTGCTAGGGTTTTTAATATCGCAGGAACAATACAGAAGGGGATAATTCAAAACACCAAGAAAGACCTTATTTTCTATTGGAGTTTAAGACGCATTTTGTATTTATAGCCCACATAAGAGTTGAACTGATATTTTGACTTATTACTTTTAATGTAAGTTTTACACATTCCATATATTATGATTAAAAAAATCTAAAAATCCATCTAAACCAGTGTTCAAGGTGTATACCCCCGCTATGAGTAATTATAACGCAGCGAAAACCAAATGTCCTTGAGATGACTACTGCATGGGAGAGATCCATGTAGACTAGTATACCTATTGATCTATTTTACCAACCAAACTCCAAACCGAAGTCACGCTGGGTTCATTCACTAGTTCATTAACTAGTACCTTATGGGGTTCCATTGAATGACACGCGTTAACACACACAATTGCCAACCGAAATACTAAGAAAAGACAACTATCTATAGCTTTTGAAACACAAGTATGCCGGMTTAATTTTGAGATTTGGCTTTAGTGAAGTTCAAAACCACATACTTATAAGCTCGACTTGTCGACAATAGAATTGATATTGAAACCCTCAAAGCACTGACTCAAATATAGTATAAACTTGTAGTTCTGAACTTTATTTCACAATTTGTTTTTGGATTGTTTTGAATTATTCGAACAAAGCGACTTTGTCCTGATGCGTTTAAGGTTTGAACGCTAAAAAAACACACATGTGGATAGGCAAAATAGTAATGCCGACACACACGTGATAATCACGAAGTGTTGTTACAATTAATAGCGGAAATAAAGAAACAAATACGAAAAACATTTCCCACAAGCATTTCAGATGTATGTGTTGAGGAAAAATTTAAGCAATTAAAAGGACTTCAAAGGCAGGCAATGTTGTAAACCTTGTAACGCGACGACGGCAAATGTGATAATGGCTCCTAATTTAGTCTTGTTGACGAGATTGATGATTGCTTCATTAACAATCCTACGATTCTCTTTGTTTTTCATTCTTTTGTAATCACCCGGTCAGCAAGTCCTGATTTGTGAGWTCGAAATTSCTTTCGTTTGAAAATAAATCATGAAATATTCAGACGACAAAAAGAGAATTCGAAAAGAGCCAGTTTTCACCGTTCAGTCTATGCTACTGAAGCCATCTAGTATCCCYCTTAAAAAGAATATAAAGRAATTTGCTGTAGCTTCTTAGACCACGTACAAGAAATTCACTTTAAAAAGAAAGAAAATGTATTACTCACAGAAACAACATACTAYAGCTAGTGAAAAAATTATCGTCTGCACAAAACCTGAAARCCAAAGTTATAAATTATTCAGAAGCGGGAAAGTTTTTTGTGTAAAATGTTCTTTTCAACAAAAAGGTCAATTTTAACGAGTCACCCATTCATTAACCAATACGAAGTCATACAAAAACCTCTCGAAAATCTCTACAATGTGGGAAAATATCAAGATTTTTACCAAGGGCCTACTGCATTGTCAATTCTCGAGTCTTTCAGGAGATTTTTTCTGACTGTTCATAGAATATGAGTTGTACTTGTAAATTTATGATGCCACATTTATGACTTTTAGTGAATAATTTATCGCCAGAGCTGTTTTTGGAGGTAATGATAAGACAGGTGTCAGATCGAGCAGTTTTTACCAGCTTCTTGACGACAAGAAACCTTTAGTATTTCTACTATAAGAGACTTTAAATTCAGAAACTGAAAAAAGCTGAAGTACTTTACTATGAATTTTGTGAGAATTCCTTAAGAATAGATAGGTATTGCAAATTGGACGTAGTCAGTTAACGACTTTCTGAAAAGGGCAATAGTAAAACTAAGTGTCGCAAAGCTCTAGATTGCTTGACGAAGTCTTCAAAGAAGGAACTTAGAATCATTAAAAACACAACAAATGAATAGCAAAGCTGGTTTCCGCCCATCCATGAATCGAAAATTCCCCTACAGTTTTGGGTAGTAATTGTTAATGACCGCTATATCTACCTTGATTGACAGTCATTGGTTAATTGACAATGGACTATCGATTGTATTCAAAAGTGGCCAGCAGGGTAGCCCTAGCTGATCACATCGAAAAACACTCGATGTGTCGTTAGGTCGAGAAAGGACAGTCGGCTGCCCAACCACACTCAACTCTTAGAATCTCAAAAACTGTAGCTAAAAATACCAAAAATGCCTCGTTCTTTCCTACTCAAGAGATTTACAAGACCAATCGAATGTCCCGAAGAAGGCAAAACCCACTCTTTTGATGAAAAAGGTATGGAAATATTGCGCTATTTAGTGATTGAAATCGGGATTATGGCTATTATTCGGCTTTAAAAGATCATGAAGTTGCTCGTTAGCAAAAGATCACAGATTTAAAGCATTAAAGTAAGTTATTACTGTAACTTTTCATAGGAAGCCTTGACTATAAAGACACCAATGTCAATACAATTGAACATCAAGCGTCAATGGGATGGGAATCTCGATCAAACATTGCCAACATACTGCGCGTTGGAATGGAATGGAACCAGCCTCGCTACCCAAACCTCAACGACCAACCAAACCACCGAGATTTTGCTCACCGCGTGATTTATCATGATATCACAAAAGAAGCACGATTGAATACTGATGAGAGCGCTGAAAACAACATCAAAGCGAAGCCAGAACCCCATAAAAAACAGACGTACAAATGYAGYCAGTGCGGGAAAGTATTCAAGACAAAGTACACACTGACAATCCACCTCAAGATGCCTTCCCACACTGGCGCCAGACCGTTCGTATGTGCAGTCTGCGGCAAAGGGTTTCGCCTTTCTAGCACGTTATGCAGACACAAAATTATCCATACATCCCACAAACCTCATCGCTGTCAGACATGCGGTAAAGCATTCAACCGTTCTTCCACCTTGAAAACCCACCAGAGAACACACAGCAATGTGAAAGAGTTCACTTGTGAAATTTGTGGCAAAGGATTTCATCAAAAAGGYAATTTACGCAACCATTTGCTGATCCACTCAGGGGAAAAGCCCTACAAATGCAGCCTTTGYAAGAAAGCGTTCAATAAGTTRTCAAACTTGAAGTTCCATATGCATGTACACACGGATAACAAGCCATAYCGATGCAGGTAYTGTAAAGAGAGCTTTTCGCGCCGTTGTGAGCTGAAAGAACATCTCTCCATTTGTAGCCACAACGTGGTTGAGAATTCTTGACTTAAAGTGCACKTCATTATAGTGAAAACTTTGTACTGGTACAGTATATAGAATCGTATGTACAGACTCAGGAACATATAACGACACTGGCTCAATGGCAGAACTAAWGGCAACCACTTCGCCGACCGGCAAAAATAAAYAAAAACAGCCTTAGATATAACGCTTCATTCGTAGGCAATACTAGAATTATTTATGTCAAACCAGATTGTCGAGGATAAGTAGTAAATGTGGTCAATWGTTAAGGATTTTAGGCTAAATAAAGTTTAATAACAAATAATGCAAACTGTGAATCCATTTTAGTTGGTCTTTTTATGGTATCTAATTTAGAAACCTCGCACCTCACGCTCACTACGAACAGCGGACTTCAATTATTGATCAATGTATGTATACCTTTTATAATTTTTACTATTTCAGGCTTGAGCGGTACAACATTGCGAAAGGAAAAAAAAAATTGTAAAGAAAAAAAGAAAAAAATTGTACTTTATGCATTTTTGTTTCGATTTTTACTCCGGAACACTGATGCGAAACGTCATAAGTTGTTTCACCTACTTTTTTACAGTGTTTTGAAATTTATCTTTTTACACAACCATTTTTTCAGATTGTTTAGCAGTTTTTTATCTAGAATCTAAATGCCCAAAGTTTTTTGGAATTAGTTTTTACTCAGAAGCCTATTTTGATGAATGTATGAATCGATGTTTCATTTTGAATCAAAACATGAGTATAGGCCTTTGTCTTTTTAACCTCGGGGCATTTTTACTAATATCACTTTCCCAAACTTTTGGGTTTAAATTTTTTCTAACAGTGATTTTAATATAGCTGACGCACCAGCCCTTGGTCTTCAAGAACGCAAATCGCTATTATCTCCATTAGAGCTTTTTGTCCATCTGTTATTATGCCGCTGGCTGAAATTGGCCATAATTCATCCCCGTATTAGTTTATGGTGGACATCCCACAGCGACAGACTGCGAAAAAACAGCGTGTCTCTCTCAATGACTCTCGCTTTAGTAAAAAAAACGACATCTGTCAAGAGGCAATATGTTTGCATAGTTAGAAACGTTCGCATGGTAAAGCTGTTTACAAGCACAAGTCTTGACCAACCGTCCATCTGTCTTTAGATCATCAATGTTTTTAAGCTTCAATTTCTAAAATACAAGTAGATTAAAGTGGTAAAGCTTTTGGAAATCTTCATGTTATGATACACCCTGTGAAAATAGCTAATTAGGCCAATTGAATAGTACATTAGTACTTGAAGAGATAGCTATTAAAACTGATATACTGAAGTTTTCGGACTTAAGAAAACCTTGAAATTTCGTCTGCAGTGTTTCATATGAAAATGCTTGGAAGTTGACACAGTTGACTAGAAGCGATACGTAACCCATGCTTGCAGTTAATTTGGTGGAAATGTTGCGAATAAATAATTCATGTTATGAAAAADGGTGGTTATGAAGAACTTGTAAATATGTTTTGAATTTTGAGAATTTTTCAATTTTATAAAATCACTTAAAAGAGTTTTGTTCAGATTGCTTCGCAGTAAATGCAGTAGGTGGTACCGAACTAATTATAAGCAATATAGAAATTATTATTTTTACCGTCCAGAAGTACCCAAAAGATATAATTTATTCATAAAAAGAGCTTATATCAAACAATTCAAATAGCACTAGTTCTCGAATAGGCCGACTTATGGCATGTTTCATACGTTAGTACATCATGAAACCTGTAGGTCGACTTTGGCTGTCGCGCGCGCGTCAAGATTTTGATATTTTCCCGCTCTTTTAGTCGTACGTTTATGAACGTACTTTTACACGTATTCTTTTCTTTGAACGTTTGCTCTTTTAAATGGATAACAAGTTACTCTTATCTAGTTTTAGTTCGGTAATTAGGTTACAATTTAAGGGAAAATGAGTCTGAAAGAAGATGCCGAAGAGCTGCCAATTATATGTTGATTCGTGTGAATGTGGGATTTGCTTCATTCAGTATGTTGCATGACAAGCAAGTGACACGCGTTTGTGTCACGAAAGAGCTCACTTACGTTAGGCAACGGATGAGCGCAGCGAATTAATTTATAAAGATTTCCCTTTAAATCACCAAACTGTATCTTTAAATGAAGTCTTAAAAAAAACTACGTGAATCCTTGAACCTTTGCGCGCTTTTCTAAAATGAAGAAAATCGTGAATTCATGCAGGATGACAATCATCCATAAACGAGCATAGAATTTTCGYGGTGTTTTGCATTTTTGCATGGAGTTTATGAGTGATTGCGGTAGGTATTTTAAACCAAGGCCTTATGCACCAYTCGGTGCGAAACATCACGATGATGATGATTTCAAACCAATCAGAAAGCAACCCTCAACAACAATAAAGATCAGATGCAGGACATTGCGGTAGTTATGGAAAATATAAATATACATTGTGAAAATGTCCTATAAATATTATACTAACTACGTTCAGACTTTTACCTTTATACAATTTCTTTCTTGCTTAAAAGTCCTAACTTGGTACCTGAAAAGATGCAGTCAAAGTAAATACATATATTTTTCAAATATACAAAAAAAACAACAACAACAACAAAAACAAACACCAACAAAACAATGAACGTCAAGGTTAAAAAAATAAATAAAAAAACTCTGTTACAATATCCCAATAACTATATACGATTATATGTAAATATTATTTTGTAAAAAAGGTAATCAAACTACAATACCTTTTTCAAGAATGTCGCCTATATGTCCTGTCTTAACTTGTTGATTGCTTTGAACGCTGTAGAACAGTGTTGRAYMATGTTGAAAAATGGKTGCGCAARCATTTTCAACATTGYCGTTCAACAAAATCGAACGCATGACGATGCAAATGTTGAAAGCGTTTGTGCTGGTCCTAATGTAAAAATATAGGCACTTCCTGGTTCGATCAATCCATTTCTATTCTTTATTGCTTTCTTTTACTTATTCTCTTATATACAAGAACTGATCTTTGTCGCTTTGATATCTGATTCACCAACTTTCACCGTATTAAAGGACCATGGTTAAGCGACATTCAATGCGGTCGTGTTTTAGATTTTTTCATGTATGGAAAATGAGGCGACTTTAAATATCCATTCGCAATCGGCCTTTTCCATTAGTCGAACCTTACAATATCTCCACACATAGATCAAAAAGGAATAATAAAGAGTAAGTTTTTGGTGTTGTTATTTTCAAACATAAGCGAAAGCCGGCTAACCATGGACCTTGAAGTGAYCTTTTTCTASCACAGGTCCATGCAAAATACGAATGGAATAAAGTGTAATAAGCTGACACTAAATAGATATCTACAGGTATAATATCGACTATACACATTATTTATAGATGACAGATTAAATACGTATCAAGCTCCTAGCTTTATCCAAGATTTCCTTCTTGATTTTAGGATAGTGYGGATGCTGGTTGAGCACCTGAAAAAAGGACAATAAATCAGATATACTTTTTCGAAATTTATCACTACAAACTGAACTAATGAAACACAGAATAAACACAAGAAGAAAAACAAATTAAAACAAAAAACAAAAAAACAAAACATTCAAAAAGGCCAAAAAATCACTCGGTACGATAGTGTTCTTTTAATGTCCGTTAACACTTTTTTTCGCGAGACAATCGCCTGAGTTTCGAACATGCTTGAAATTTAGCTAGGCAACTCGCGGGTTTTTCGATCGCAGATACAATCGCAGGGCTGTTTACACGTACGGTTTGAGGTGCGCAATAGCAAAGTGGCGATTGTCGCTCGACAATCGCGCTGCAAAAAACGCAAGTGTAAACGGGCCTTTACGCTTGCTTCTTCTTTGCTTATTGCATCTTGATGAATTCAGTGATGTAACGAGTGAGTGATATTAAACCAACTCACCAAATGACACACGTCAATAGCGTCAACGTATCTTTTGGCTTTCAGGTAATTGAAGGCTAAACGGAAACCTGCGGATAAAAGGACGGTAACAAGATATGAATTTGACATTGCAGAAAGGTAGAAAGTGGTAAAAAAGAGATGAATGGACAATAAAATGGGATGGAAAAGAATGAGAAAGAGAGGAAAATAAGGCGATGGCAATTGACGAATTAAGGAATGTGATGGCAAAAGTCAACACAAAAAAAAAACAACAACAACGGAGAAAGATAAAACGAGGGACAGGAAAGAGACGAGCAGAGGACAAAAACCATGGATGACAGAATGAAAGGTGCTCTGATAGTAAAACTCACCAATGGTTGGATTATTTCTGTTGCCATTTTTCCATGCGTTTTCGTAATTCTTTGCAGCATCTTTGTAAGCTTGTTCTTTCTCCATGATAAAACCCATGTATTCCCACGCCTTACAACAAGACTGTAAGGAAATTGGACATCAATACATCTCATTTTTATATGTTAAATCCGCACATATTTCAATCAAGGCCTTTACTTTCAGCTAATTTATTTTTATCATCAGCATTATCAGTATTTTCCAATGGTAAATAAAACAATACATTCAATTGGGACTTACTTTGTTGTACTGTATGCATTTCTTTAGCAAGTCACTTGCCATGTCATACTTCCCAGACTATCAAACAAAAAATAGTCAATAAATACATCGTGGTCCCTGTCGTCCTTTCAAGACTATCAAACAAACCGTAATCAGTCTAACATATCATCCAGCGAGTCGTTCTTCTTCTGAATTATCATTATTTTTTAACTATCAACTCAGTCCTTCATCGATCTATTCCGGGCGAGTTTCTTCCTTCCTTTTCTTTTTTTTTTTTTGTTCGTTACCCATTCCATTTCGAAATATAAGCACCGTCAAAAACAACAACAACAACAACAACAACAACAACAACAACAACAACAACAACAACAACAACAACAAAACGAATGCCTCTGAGTATAATTCTAATTATCGCATGTTATAAAAAATCAATGTCAATCACAATCTCATCTGTTCGTCCGCCTTTACCTGGATGTAGATATCGGCTAGTAGGAGCCAACTTCTCTCGAACTCTTCAGCATCCTAAATGGCACATAATTTAGAGCAAACTAACAACGCTAAATAGTGYAATTAWATTTGTTATYTCGTTATGGACACTATACCTCAGATGTCCAGTTCATTTTAGCGATYCGTTTGAGTTGATTCCTTGCTCTGGGTGTTTGTTTAAGGTACATGTATGCTGTAGCCATTCCTAATAATGCTGGCACATAATCACGCTACCAATAAAATAACAGGAAATACATTAATTGTACTGATTTTAAAGACCTTGAAGGGAAGAGACTGTGCCTCTTCGTATAATAGAGCGCGATCTTTTAACAATCTAAGCCAGTCCTATCAGTATGTTGATGATCAACATCCATATCTATGATATCCGGCATCTCATACTTCCCATCAACCATTTCAATCTGAAAAACGTTCTCCTCCCTCTAAAAGACGAAAGCACACCCCTTCTCCCTCCCTCCCTCCCGCCTCCCATAAAAAATAGCGAAAACAGCAAAAACAATCAAGAAGCACAGCAAGAGAGACAAAAAATTGAAAAAAAGGTAAAAATACGTCGCCGAGGACTACCCAASTTAACTGCATGTTTACCTCAGTTGTAGCTATTTCCATGAACTGTGCCAAAGCCAATTCAACACTTGGTTTAGCCTTCGTCGCCAGCAGAACACAATTCTCCAGAATACGATATTTGAGAGGATTGGCTTTTGGCTTAAGTTCCTAAATGTAATAGTGAAAGCAGTAAATATCTGAGACAGATATTCTATATGGTATCCGGTCGTTTCGATCCAAAGACGTTTCGATCCAAGTTGTTTCGATCCATTTTTAGGACGTTTCGATCCATTGTTAGGACGTTTCGATCCACTTATATAACAACCCAAAATTCATAAGTATCACTACAGATATGTTAACAGCCTACCATTGTACCTCCTTATCAACCAGCTACACAAGGAAGCGTCGCTAGTATCCCTACAGATAAGGCTCATTTCATATATAACTAAACATAAAGAAACTACAATTGGAGACTTGTGCAAACAGGGCACTAAACTCACTTATCTAAATYGAGTAGACGCATCAACACTGGCTTCAGTGATTAAAAAGCACCTCTCAAAGTTGATCACAAAAGTGGAAGGTTGAATTTAAAGAAGCAACAGGAATCGAATGGGAAAACTGAAGTACTGGATCCAAATTTAATATGAAGCGCAAGTA